AATTAGCGTTTCTCTGATGTGGGCAGTGTTTTTGTAACAAATTCATTTTTATAATAAGTTTTGTTATTTGTTATTCTTATATAAATGTATGATTTCAATATAGGATGCACTTGGGAGGAAAATATTATGCCAGATAACATTGGAGGTATAGCATCAGTTTTAAGTAATACACAAAACGATTGCTGTTTACATTGTCTGAATAATTTTAATGACACATTTGCTGCTTTTTTCATGGATTCACAGTGCACATGCTTAAATGTAAATCACAAGAGAATTGCGTCTAATGGAGCCTATTACACATATATAACAAGTACGGTATTTTCTTAAAAATTAATTTTTCTAGACCTTACATTATTTTAAACTGTAAAGCCAAGCAAAAGAAAAAAGAAATTATGATTGGTTTAGTACATTAGAATATTTTTATATAACAGGGCTCTACATTTTTAAGTAGAGATTTAGATCTCCTAAGACTATTACATAACTTTTCAAGAGTCACGAATAAGCTTGTGTAAAAAATTGAAAACTCAAACCAATAACTAATTATTTTATGACATTTAAATATCTTAAACACTTGGTTTTAAATATGATAAATTAAATAGACAAATAAATAGTTAAAGCAAAATATTTATGAGATTTTTGTTAGCGTAATGTTAAAACTGTAGGGGTGTTGTGGTACCATGCGGTAGAGTTGTAATGCTACTTTATAAGCAAGAAGATCCGAGTTTTAACCCCACTCTGTCCCTGGTAGTATCGAGATCCACTTGTTTCTTCACACATCGGCTTTGTTTGTTAAGTTTCGCGTTTTGGAATTGTAAAGTTGAGAGATGTTACAACCACAGTTAAAGTAGCCTCATCGATTCTCAAGACTTTCTCAGACTTAAGGAATTGAATTAACAAATAAAAAAAGAGTGAATTGAATCAACAAATTTTTTTTACATCGAGTTCCAAAATGTAGGTCGTTAACTTTACATAATTAAAGAAATTTTTTTCTATTTTTGATCTGTTAACTGAAGTCTAAACTGAGCTTTATTGACCTTTGGAACAATTTAAAATTTAATTCGTTGTTATTTATAATAAGCGAAAGCGTCAAAAATGTCAAAATAAATTTTTCTTTTCTGAACTCTATAAAATGATAGGTGTATAAATCTTTTCTTTTTTCTATATTTAAAATTTTACCACGATGATCTATTTGCATTGTGATCATTGTGGTAATTTTGTCTTTACAATATTTTATTGGTAAGATGGCTTAGCAATGTATCTTATCCTATCATAACATAATAGCTTAACAACGGCTTTTACTATCTTTACATAACATCTCATCAATAGCTATTAATATAATGTTATATTACGTTAACAAAAATAACCATTTCAAAACACAGTTATTGTAATCATTTGCCAACGTTTAATTAAAGGTATTAGAAAGCTTTAGACAACAACAAAAATGTTTTAATATCGATACAATGACAAAACATGTAAGAACACCTCTAACTGGATATTTTTATACAACCATAGATCAGAATACCTTTCATTAACCTCATCAAATAATAAATAAAATTTGAAAGATTTAATGTTTTAAAGACGATTTTATTTGACTACTTTTACTACCAAGTCGTTAACGCCTTAAATCATGAAAAGACTTTTTTGGCAAAAGTATTATGTTGTTTAAAATGTTATCCATGGCAGGTTTAAAATTAGTTAGATAAATATCCATTTCTAATCTAACAACACATTTTTGCACTGATTTTATCTTTAAGCAACATATACATAAGTTTACAGTTTTTAAATACAATGTTAACAAACTTTTGAAGCATTTTTACTAAGTAAAAATATTTTCTTAATAACTTAAATGTTTTAATTGCTTTCATAAAGTTAAAAAATATATAATTCAGACTTAACGAAGGGTCACACAGTTTGGAAAGAGTCTCGTGTAGCCTGCGAGCCGCGGGTTGTGGACCCTTGTTATACGAGAGTTGATTTATTCAAGTGTTACGTATAACAAAAATTAACATAAATTAACAACAACAACAATAACACGCTATATATTTTCCATTAACCATATTTTTTAGGAGGCTGAATATGTGCGACTAAATAAAGTGCGAGTTAGCATAAGAGCGAAGCAGTTGCAAAAACTGTCATAAGTGCAAACTTGCATAAATGCAATTTGACATAACTGCGCCGAAAGAGTTTGTAAACATTGGCATAAGTGTGAATCGGGATATTTGAATACTTTCATAATTGCGAAGCAGTTGTAAAAACTGTTATAAGGCCGATCTTGCATAAGTGCGCAAAAAGAATATGCAAACATTTGCATAAGTGCGAATCGGCATAATATCCCTTTCGTCAGTTAGCGCGTATCTATTTTTAATTTTTTTAGGTGCTGAAAAAACACTTGCGGTTTTGTCACAGAGCACCGCATTTGATAGAAAGTTTACTCTTTCTTCCTTGCCTATGTTATAAAACTTGCCCAGCGGTGGAGTTGAACGTTAAATATCTAGCTTATTTGGCAAGCGTGCTAACCACTGCGCTACAGCTACTTATGCCACTACTTTGCCCTAGGGCTATATGTGCCACCTATGCAGATTTGTTGTTAAAAAGTTTGCACCTAATCAGTCGCCCAGGATAATGGTTAGGCTTAGGGCTAATTAATAAAATAAAAATATAATGTTAACATTATATATAATATTGAAAAAGTTTGAGATGGAATCTTTTTAAAATTCAAAAATAATAAAAAGAATAAAAACAAAACTTTTTTAATGCTGAAAAGATAGGAATGTTATTTTTTTTAATGGTCTGTCATGTAAACGATTTAAATGAATGGAAGTTTGTTATTCTAATGGATTGACGCTATGACAATAGCAACTTTTTAATGCTATTGTTTCCAATTTGACACCAAACTTGACAAAACATAACTAGGATAAGACGACAATAATGCATATTAAATATTCCTATCTGAACTTTACTAACACAATAACTAATTAATAAAAGCATATCGTTTTACGCATAGCGTTCGTTTTACGCATACGCTCATAAATGTGAAATTTTTATGAAAGGTAGCTATTAAGCAAAGCGCCAAGATATTTAATAACTTTCACAAAATATAACTGTTTATTATTAATTTTACTTTAACTTATTTAAATAGTTTTTTTTAGGAATGAAAAAATTTTTTATAGTTTTTTCGCTGTTAAGACATATTAAGTTAAAATTTATATAGTAAACTATAGCATTTCTGATGTCTATTAATTTTTTTTTAACTAAAAGAATTATACGATTTATTGACCTAGTTTCTAGAATTAAAATCATTAATACCTACAAATTGCTTTTCATCTGAAAGATAAAATCGAAACCAGTTATTTACATCACCGCGATTTACATAGTTTAGAAAATAAAATGGTGAACGGATAAAAAAGAGATAATGATAGAATATTAAAGTTTGGATATATAAAACACTTGTTGACGGAAAAACAATAAATATTGGATTTGAGTTCATAAGCAAAATTTGTTAAAAAAGAGTTAAATGTTTGATCATTTGTATAAGATTTCTCGTAAATAATTGGAATATAACTTATTATTACTGCATTTCCAAAGCCTTTCTTGGATTGTTGTTATAACTTTTGCATAAATTACCTTAATTAATATATCCTCATACACAAATAATATCATTATTTGCATAAATGCAACTATTCCTTTGTAAAAGTTGCTTTATTTATCAGCAACAACACACATTCCTCCATTATGTTGAGCGACTTTTGTTAATACATTTTATCTACCATCATTTTACAATCACTACAAATTTTTCCTATTTACATATAGTTCTGAAAAACCTTTAAGAAATCAACTCCTTCTTGTGGAATTATATTTAACAATAGAGTTGATGATAACAACCGTGTTAATCAAATCAACAGCGTTTATAATCAAAAGAGTATTGATAATAAAAACAGTGTTAATGATAAAAACAGTGTTAACGACAACAACAGTGTTGATGCACTAGACGACTGATCTTACAAATCCTACAAGAATCCTATAGGATGAGATGCACAAGTCCCTGCAGGACCTACAAGAATTTTCTGAAGGATCTTGTAGGATTTGAAGGAATTCTTATAAGATAATATAAGATCTACAAGGATATTTTAAAAGATCTTGCAAGATTAACAGGATTCTTATAGGATGCTGAAGGAAAATTTTAGATTCGTATATATACGGCCGTAGCCCTCCCCCTTAATCCAGCACTGGTTCCTAAAAGAACCAGTGATAGATTAAAGAGGAGGGGGCTAGGGCCCTAAAATTTCGGGAGTCCGAAACTATTAAGCGGAACTTTTTCTTTTTCTACTGTTTTAGTGTTAATACGCCAATGATAGGAACCATAACATTTATTATTTTATAATTAATATCATGAATCTAATAGCCAAACTATATCATAAATCTAATAGCCAAACTAAGAACATACGAAGTTAGGTTTTTATTTTGATTGAAAGGAAAGTATGTCTATTCTTCTTTTTAATTACTGATAATAGGTAAGTTAAAGTTTGAAATAACATTTTCTTATTAAAAAAAATCATTCTGTATAAAAGAAATTTTTCACATATTATCATTATTACAGAATCACAATTGCATTGCTGATTACTTTCGTTTTTTCTTCCTATCTAGGCCGCTCTGATTAAGACTTCGTCTGACGCACGTCCACGAGTAATTGGCAAGAACTGTTGCAAGTTGCTCTTTGAGATTTCGTATTATTGCATCAGGAACTGTGGTTCTATAATAAGAAATAAAGATATATAAAAAAATATAATAGAAATCAGGCAATTAATCAATAATTAAAAATTTAAAACCCGTCCCGCCCCTTAACCCATCGCAGACACAAGGGAGGGGGGGATTATTATCCCCTGACAAAATTTTAAAATTATTTAAAGATTATGACTAAGTAAAAAGTAAAGACACTTGAAATTTTAGCTACTTGCTCCAAATATTTAGGCGAATTTAAGAAAAATAAAATTCATTTGAAATGCCTAATCTGAGCATATTAGTCAAATCCATGGATAGATTCGGTCAAACGAATGACTGGTCAAAAACTTAAATTTTGATTTCTGGCTTTTCTTTGTAATCCTGAAGTTTCATATTTTCCATGAAGCTTTTTTTTATACTTACATATTTATAATTATTTCAATAAATGAAGTATGAGAAGTTGTTAGTCCAAGATCCTACTTTTTTGGATCTGGATCATGATCCAACAAGTTAAACTAATTGATCCCAAATTTTCAAAATAGGTTAAGGAAAATAAAAAATTTAATAAAAACCCAAGCACTAAAAGTATGATTTTCTAAATAACCCCCTGCCACCCTGTGCCAACAACTTATAAAAAATAGGTAAGCCTTAAAGCTGCTGCCCAATAACATTACCTACATAAAAATGCCCTAATTAAAAACCCTACCTATCAGCCTCTCCATGAGTTGTATTCAGACTTTCTCTAAAACATTTTGAATTTAATAGTATCGTGTTAAAAATACAGCAAACTTTCATACTTTAATATATATATATATATATATATATATATATATATATATATATATATATATATATATATATATATATATATATATATATATATATATATATATATATATATATATATAATATATATATATATATATATATATATATATATATATATATATATATATATATATATATATATATATATATATATATATAATATGTAAAATAAATATATAACAATTTTTATTATTAATTTTTATTAATTAATTAGAGTAAAGTTAAATACAATCTCTTTAATAATACTGAACTTAATAGTAGTAGTAGTGCGCTTTCGAGCCTGTTTGACACGATACTCTTGGCAACCATTGCGTCCGAGGTAGTGACGAGAAAGAGTCTCACCTTTGCTTTATAAGAAAACGTGAGCAAACGTGAAACTTATATCGTACGTACCTAGACTTCATGTTATGTAATGCTAAAACATGCTTAAATATATATCAAGTTCTACAGTTTGATTTTCACTTAAGAACTGCGTTTCGTCAACCTCAGCTTGATTTCTAATCTTTTGCATTTATATCCGTTAAAAACAATTTTTATATAATTTTGAATCTTCAATACTAAATGTGTCAGCATAGTTGAGTGGTTAGCGCGCTGGGCTTCAGAACCTAAACTGCCGTGGTTCGAGTCCTATTGTTGGCGACTAGTGTTTTAATTTTTTTTAGATTTTTTTAAAAACAAATTCAAATACTTATAAAGTTTTATAGATATTGTATATAGACAACATATGTAAAGATATTAATCAAAAGTTTGATCCTCGCATTTTGACACAGAACCAACTTCGCTAACGAGAGAAAAAAAATCGTTCACAAATTTCAAAATTTTGTTTTTTCGTGAAGTCTTTTAACACTTAGTTTCCAACTTTCTTGACATACTCCAAGTCTTTTTGAGAAAAAACTTTGTTGATCAAATATACAAAAACAGAAATTCAGTTTTTTTGTATATGATAAATATCGCTGTGGTACAAAGTGCAAACCTAGGTTTTTTAAACAAAATGCCAATCGAGTTTTACTTTCACGCGGTTTTAATCACCACGAGGCTTAGTTAAATGCTTAGTTAAATACTTAAAAAAAGATAAAATTTAAGGCTTAAAAAAAGAATTTTTCACAAATTTTTTTTTACATCTCTTTAATCCTTGACTTTCGGATTTAGATTTATTACATTGATAGAACATTATAATATTATTATTTTTAGATTATTACATTGTTTGATATTTTTTTTAGAATTTAGATAAAAGCGACAAAAAAAATGGTGACTCTAAAATCCTTTAGGATTTTAGAGTCACCATTATTTTTGACATAAGTTGCAAGAAGTGTCTCACAAATGCCATTTATGTTAAAGTTAGTGTTTACGCAATCAATAAGTTTAATCTTCGTATCTAGGACATATTACGCAATCAATAAGTTTAATCTTTGTATCTAGGGTATATTTATGTTACCAAGTTTATAAAATTTTCATAAAATCCATAATATAAAATAATCATGATATAGCAACTATTTATATATTTCTTTAACAAAAATGAAAAAGATATTAGATTCTCAAACAGCATGTTCATTATAATGAACATGCTGTTTGAGAATCTAATATCTTAATTTTGTATCTAATATCTTAATTTTTGTGATTTGTGACGTGATTTAAATGCGCTAGTGACGTGATTTGAATGCGCTATTGGAAGGCATTATGAATTGCGGGAAAATAAATAGCACTTGAGTGTTATTTATTTTCCCGCAATTCATAATGCCTTATGATTTAAATCACGTCAATCTACGACTCAATTTACTCAGAAAGTCACGCAATTCAATGTACACTCTGATTGCGATAAAAATTTTAATTCAACTAGATTTTTTTGGTAATAATTTAATTTTAACGATTGTCCCGGGCGGCAGATTTCCAAGAGGCACCAAATAGAATGAAGGTTCCTTGGAACAAAGGTCCTTTACCGATAATATAGGAGAATTTCGATAATTAAGAACGCCAATCATGTTGCTCTCCCGGGCAGCGAAACAGTTCTTGGCGGCATTTTATATATATATACAGTTATTTGTTATTATTTAAATTTTTTACAACGTTTCTATTTATATACATTCAATAAAAATAGTTTTTAATTCTTTTTAAATTATAATATATTTTTATTTATTTGCACACTTATAATGTTGTGTAGCGCAGGTGGTAAGGCAATAATGGTCTAGCGATCCGGGTTTCGAATCCCATCACCGATAAGTTTTTCATTTTTCAAAATAAATTTAAAAAATTGAAAATCTTACAAATCCTTTAAGATACCCTACAGGATAATAACAAGATTTCTTATGATCTTATAGGATTTGCAAGATAAATAAAATCTTACGAATCCTTTAAGATACCCTATGGGTAATCACAGGATTTCTTATGGTCCTATAGGATTTGAAAGACAAATAAAATCTTACAAATCCTGTAAGATATCCTGTAGGATAGTATAAGATTATATGCGATCCTATAAGACTCATAAGTTGTCTGTAAGATAGTCGACTAGTGTGATATTAACAGTGATGATGATATCAACAGTGTTGATGATATCAACAGTGTTGATGGTATCAACAGTGTTGATGATATCAACAGTGTTGATGATATCAACAGTGTTGATGATATCAAAAGTGTTGATGATATCAAAAGTGTTGATGATATCAACAGTGTTGATGATATCAACAGTGTTGATGATATCAACAGTGTTGATGATATCAACAGTGTTGATGATATCAACAGTGTTGATGATATCAACAGTGTTGATGATATCAACAGTGTTGATGATATCAACAGTGTTGATGATATCAACAGTGTTGATGATATCAACAGTGTTGATGATATCAACAGTGTTGATGATATCAACAGTGTTGATGATATCAACAGTGTTGATGATATCAACAGTGTTGATGATATCAACAGTGTTGATGATATCAACAGTGTTGATGATATCAACAGTGTTGATGATATCAACAGTGTTGATGATATCAACAGTGTTGATGATATCAACAGTATTGATGATATCAACAGTGTTGATGATATCAACAGTGTTGATGATATCAACAGTGTTGATGATATCAACAGTGTTGATGATATCAACAGTGTTGATGATATCAACAGTGTTGATGATATCAACAGTGTTGATGATATCAACAGTGTTGATGATATCAACAGTGTTGATGATATCAACAGTGTTGATGATATCAACAGTGTTGATGATATCAACAGTGTTGATGATATCAACAGTGTTGATGATATCAACAGTGTTGATGATATCAACAGTGTTGATGATATCAACAGTGTTGATGATATCAACAGTGTTGATGATATCAACAGTGTTGATGATATCAACAGTGTTGATGATATCAACAGTGTTGATGATATCAACAGTGTTGATGATATCAACAGTGTTGATGATATCAACAGTGTTGATAATATCAACAGTGATGATGATATCAACAGTATTGATGATATCAACAGTGTTGATGATATCAACAGTGTTGATGATATCAACAGTGTTGATGATATCAATAGTGTTGATGATATCAACAGTGTTGATCATATTAACAGTGTTGAAGATATCAACAGTGTTGATCATATTAACAGTGTTGAAGATATCAACAATATCAATAGTGTTGATTATAAAAAAATAGTAAAAAACTTAAAATTAAGAGAAATCAATTTATCTCTGCAGATTATTGTAATCTTTCTTGAGGGTTTTTTAAGTCGTTTAAACTAAAATCCAGGTGGTTGTACTGATTTCTTCTAGTCATTTAAACTTGTAAGAGCTTTCTTTTGTGTTTTTCTTTGATCTTCTTATAAAATTTTTAAGGAGAGTTTTAAGAGGTTTTTGGAACTGGTACAGATTTTATTTTTTGCAGAGGTTCCCAAAATTATTTGAAATAAATTAATTTTATTTGCCGATTTGTGGTGTGTTAATGGCCTCTAGCTATATATTTGTCTTCAAAATACACTTTTATTAAAACAGTGTATTAAGGTATAATTGACTTAAATTTTTTTGATTAGATCTTTTCCTATCACTGACATAATTTTTTAACTTGTTAGTTATGTATTATTTTAATGAAGTACTATTACATGGAATATTACTATTCACTGATTTCGTTGATAAGGCTGTTTTTAACATAATAATTTAAATTATTGAATTTATAAATAATAAATTTTTAATTTAAGGAAATCCTTTTTTGTTAAACCAATCATATTACGAATGCGGCGGTTACGGATCATTCACAATACTTACAATTTATTATGTTGTATATGAAACTGATGCTTACATCTTACAAGTTATAAACATGAATTTGAATATGAATCTCTCAACTTCAATTTTAATGATAAAACCAAATATAAAATTAATAAATTTTGATGGAGCGACAGTTGGAGTGACGTATAGTGCATATCAAAAGGTTGCGTCGAACTTTTTTCAAAATGTAACACAAACTTTCAAGGTCAGTGTTTTTCTTTTTTTTCCATTATTATTTATTCTTTTACTTAATGTGTCGTATAAATTCGAGTCCATTAAAAAAAAAAATTTGATCTTATAAATGTAAATCCAATAAAAAGTTGCTTTTTGCTTAAAATTTATTAAATTCCAAAAAAAAAGGTAAAAAATATAGTCTTTAGGTGCACGAATTAATAAAGAAGGTTAGAATTTACTTAAGAATTTTGTTTCGTTTTAAGTTTTTGGGTTTTTTCTAATTAAGTATTTGCAATGCTAATTTGCACAAAAAAAAAAAGATTTTGGCACTATTTAAACCCAAAACTATTTTTTAAATTAAAAAAAAAGTTTTGTTACAATTTTCAGATATTAATATTAAGTAGTTGTAAACGAGTTACAAACGTACTCACAGTAATTATCGAATTGAAACAATAAAATCCACACACACACACACACACACACACACTTATATATATATATATATATATATATATATATATATATATATATATATATATATATATATATATATATATATATATATATATATTTAAATATATATATATATATATATATATATATATATATTTATATATATATATATATATATATATATATATATATATATATATATATATATATATATATATATATATATATATATATATATATATATATATATATAGATATGTATATATATATATATATATATGTATATATATATATATATATATATTTATATATACATATATATATATATATATATACATATATATACATATATATATATATATATATATATATATATGTATATATATATATATATATATATATATATATATATATATATATATATATATATATATATATATATATATATATACATGACATTTGCGTATCAATAAGCGATTATATAGTGAGTTTGCAAATTATGAAAAACTAATACAACTATCGTCTTATGAACATTCAATTTTTTATTTGATAAAGTTACGTAATTGTAAAATACTATTTATAATATAGATTTAATATATAATATATTATATAGATTTTAAAAAAACACATTTTCTTTTCACGTATCAACATATACATTCTTCTTTAATGAAGAATGTATATGTTACATTCTTCATTACAGAAAAATTACAATCAACTGACAGAGAAAAGAGAAAAAAAGTAAAGTGCCCAATTTTCGAGATGTTTAACCAATATATGAATTTATTATGAATTGCAATTTACTTATAAGACATATGCTGAAACCAAACTTTCATATCAAAGATCTTACTGAATCAGAAATTGAAAAAAAGCTTTCTAAAAGCAATGAAACAACTTGTTTGAAATTATTTATTGCAGCGATATCACATACGATGGTTTTAAAACTAATCAAGACTTACCACCGCCATTATTGGAAACTGATTCAGCCATTCAATATCCGAAATAATGAGAAGAGGTATAAGGAGAAGTACAAAGAAAAACTTCAATGATTCAGAAACGAAAGCAAGTTAAAACTTTTTAATATTGCAGCACGATTGTGCGCTTTGGAAGATGGCATCTGTTGTCAGAACTCTACTGCAGATCAAGAACTTCCAAATCACCAAATTGCCTAATATTTATTGGCATAGAAAAGAGGCAATAAAAAACTTTATCATCTTTTTTTATTTGAGTTTTAAGAACTGAAAAGTATCAGAAAATTTCCAAAACAAGTAATAACAGCATTTTAATATTTAATTATGAGAGTTCGGAAATAAAGATGAGAGCAAATTAGACAATGTTGCTGAAAGTGATGATAATAAATTCGCACACAGCACTGATATGAATGCTTTTAAACCCTCTGCCCTATAATCAACAGCACTACGAGAAAGCATACCAACATTGTCAAGAGCTTGCGACGGCATGGATTCTTTGACAGTACAACTGCAGCCGTAGCATCAGTGGTTTTAAAAAACTTTGGACGATTAACACCAGAAAATATATCCAATGTTATCGATTAAAATAAGGTGCGACGAGAAATAGTTAAGTATCAATAAGAAATAAGACAAGCACGAAACAAATTAAATAATATGCGATGCCTATGCTTTGATCACGCAAGTATAAAACTTTAGTAAATATGAAAAAAAGTACCTAATTGGAAAATAATACCGTCAAACCATTACAACAGAACACATTTTGTTAATTAAAGAATCTGATTTTTGTACATCAGTAATATATTGTCGACAAATGGGACAATAGTCAAAATCAAACGTAATTTTATAAATTACTTCTCTGCAAATAAATTTTCTTAACTAAACAAATACCAATTGGATGCCAAGACACAAATGTCAACATCGAACAATCTTATGGTGTTATCAGATTGATAAAGAAAGATGTAAGAAGATCATTACAAAAGCAAGTATATCAACTTCACTACGCCGTTTATTCCAACATTTTGATAGTGCGACAATCAAACTTTGTTGATATTTTGGAAGAGCATAATCAACAGGTCAAAATTTTAATTTAAAAAATCACACATTAATTTGTCTATGATAGAGTTGAAAAATCTCAGCACCGATCAAAAATATCTGTTGAAAACTACAAGTGCTGTATTTCTTTTTGAGTACTTCTCAGTATTTGCGCATCAGCTCCTAGGAGGTCTAAAGGATACATGGTGACTAAAAACGGCGCACTATGTGTTTCTTTTGGTCGCGTCTACCTTAGAACCGGCAAAGTAGTGAACTTATATTGTCAACCTATATTGTTCAGTCCTATTTGCAGAAGACACCAACTTATTTAATTCTGATAAGGATATAATATTCTTTGTTTGAAGCAGTAAACAAAGAGGTTGCAATTATTTCTCTTAATGATGGCTTTCAGACAAACAAACTTAAAATATCATGTGGGGTTCCACAAGGCTCCATCTTAGGTCCGTTGCTATTCTTAATCTATGCCAATGATCTATATAAAGCATCAAATACTATGTCTACTATTATGTTTGCAGACGACACCACTTTATTCTATTTTCACAGTAATATTATCTCTCTATTTCAAGTAGCAAAAAATGAACTAGAACAAATATCAAACTGGCTTTTCGCTAACAGCTTATCTTTAAACACTGATAAAACTAAGTTTTCCTTATTCCATTCTAAACGAAAGTTTCAATCTATTCTAAAATCCTCACCAATGCTATATATAAATAACATCAATATTGAGCGCTCATTCACAAATAAATTACTTGGTATTTTAATAGACGAAAACTTATCCTGGAGAGCTCAAAAAAATCATATTAGCAATAAAATCTCAAGAAGTATTGGAATCTTATATAAAACCAGGCGAATCTTAGACAAATCTACACTAACTCAACTATATTTTGCATTCATAAATAGTTATTTATCTTATGGCAATATTGTTTGGGGTAGTACAAATAAATCTAAACTCGACTGTCTCCTTAAACAACAGAATCATGCAGCACGCATTATTCATTTTCAAAATCGCTTCACAAATGCTAAACCTCTTCTAAAAAGCATGGGGGCACTTGATATTTATGAGTTAAATATTTTAAGAATTACACAATTTATGTTTCAACATCAGTCAAAAAAAACGCCGAAGGTTTTTGAAAATATTTTCCATAAAACATTAAACCGATACAACACGCGATCTACCGGAAGATTTAAAAAACCTTTCCGTTCATCAAAACTTACGAGCTTTGCCATTTCCTATCGTGGCCCAATGCTATGGAACCATTTTACAAGTCTGAGTGGTAAACTTAAAGAAGCCAATACCTCTCAAAAATTTAAAAAGAACATAATCGAACTTATTGCCAATCACGATTCTTTACATGATTTTTTCTAACAATACACGATTATTTCCAATTTTTATTATCAAAGATGAAAAGACTTTATCTTCTTTAGGTTCTCCGTTCTTGTAACTATTATAAATAATGAAATGTACTTGTATTTAATATTTCTAAATATTTTACGGAAATTATTTTTAATTGTAAATGGTTGCTTGACAAAAATTGAAAAAAAAAAAAAAAAAAAAAAAAAAAAAAATGTATGTATATATATATATATATATATATTATATATATATATATATATATATATATATATATATATATATATATATATATATATATATATATATATATATATATATATATATATATATATATATATATATATATATATATATATATTTTCTTCCTTCGTTTCATGAAAAGAGACTCATCTCATTAAATTTTCCAATTTTTGTTGTAAATAACTCTTGTATAGTAAGAGAGCGTACATTACTATTTCTTAGAATTGTTATTGATGAAAATGTGTGTTGGATGGAGCATATAAACATAATTAAGAATAACATTTTGAAAAATATTGGTCTACTTTACAAAGCTAAGCAGTTATTAAATCAAATCAATTTAATTACACTTTTATTTAATTTATTCATAGTTACCTAAGTTATGCAAACGTTGCCTAATGTAGCACTAACGTAACAAAATAAATAAATTATTTACTAAACAAAAGCATCCTTTAAGAATTATTGGAAATATAGATCGTTTCTCACACACTTAACCTTTACTCATTAAATTTAATATTTTTGATATAAATCTTTATCAAATTCTTACTTTTATGTTCAAAGTTAATAAAAAAATAGCACCTACTTTAATTAATTCATTTTTGGAAAAAATAAATCATATATACTCAACACGATTTTCAGAAAGCAATTATATTCAACCTAAAACCTATTTTTCTGTTACTAACTTTTCAATTGCAAACAGAGGTCCTAAACTATGGAAACCGCTATTAAACAATGAGTTAAAAACTATTTCTTCCATTAAACAATTTAAAAAACAAACTTAACCAAAAGCTTATAATGACAAAATATTGAAAATTTTTTGAAGCTTTTGATTAAGAGTAATCACGTTTGTCTATTTATTTTATTTCTTTATAAATATGGTTTAAATATATATTCTATATATACTGTTATTCAATTTGTACATTATGGCGTTGTTTTTTATTTGATATAATAAACTTTACATA